AGCCATAACAGCGAAGAATGGTCGGTGATGACCTCGAATTCTTGTAGCTCGAGATAGCAGCGAAATTTTTTTATTGCTTCGACTGCTGCCAAGCATTCGCGCTCAGTTACACTATAATTTCGCTGAGCGGTATTCAGTTTGCGCGACATGAATGCAATGGGCTTCTCATTTCCTTCCTCATCTAACTGTATCAGAACTGCACCGATACCGAAATCGCTGGCATCGCAGTGTAAATAAAATTTTTGCGAAAAATTAGGGTTGGAGAGGATAGGAGCAGACGTCAGGAGCTTTTTGAGATTGTCAAATGCTGCCTGCGCTTCATCTGTCCAGCGAAATTTCTTTTTGGTCGACAAGACTTCAGTAATGGGGAAGACAATAGATGAAAAATTGGCTACAAATCTTCTGTACCATCCGGCTAGGCCGAGGAATCCTCTCACCTGCTTAATATTTTTCGGTACAGGCCATGACAATATCGAGTCGATTTTCTGGGGATCGGTCTTAATACCACCGTCGCCGATTATGTAGCCTAAATAATTAACTTCAGTTACGCAGAAGTGTGATTTGGCCACATTTAAGGTTAGATTGGCTTTCCGAAATTGATCAGCAAGTCTTACGAGAATGGCCAAATGCGTGGGAAAGTCTTCCGAAACTACGACCAAATCATCTAAATAGCCGAATACACAATTTCGTAAGTCTGGAGGAATAAGCTCATCTACCAAACGACACATTGTGGCAGGAGCGTTGCAGAGGCCAAAAGGCATGACAACGAAATGGTAGAGAGGCCTACCGGGCACAGTAAAAGCTGTTAATGCTTTCGACTCCTCCGTGAGCCCAATTTGCCAATAAGCATCTTTCAAGTCAAGCTTCGAAATGATGTTAGCTTTTGGTAGTCGAGAAAATATTCCCTCGATACTCGGCAAAGGGTAAGCATCTTTTCGTGTGACCTGATTGAGCCTACGTGCATCAAGGCACAATCGAACCTTATTGGGTTTTAAAACTAGCCGCATTGGCGAGCTCCAGGCCGAAGTTGAGGGTTCGATTACTCCCAAAGCCAGCATTCGGTCTATTTCCTGGTACATTAATTTTTCCACGGCGGGTGACACAGGATAGTGCCGCTGTTTTACAGGAGGAGCTCCATCAACATCGATATGATGACGTATTAAGGGTGTTCGGCCTAAGCCTTGTTTGTCACAATTGGGGAATAGATCAATTACAATAGCTAGCTGTTGACGTTGTGATGGGGAAAGGGGATAATCATGAGAATTGGATATTTTGGGAACAGATAGGTTTGACTCTGACATTTCGGATACGATTTTAGATGAATCTTCATTGGACGAAGAAAAGACTATACTGCAAAATAAATCAGGAGCTAATTGGAAAGATTTCCAAAAGTCCAGTCCCAATATGAGTCTTTGTGAAATCGATGGTACTATTAATAGTCTCATTTTATGCGTAGAATTTTTAAACTCAACTGGAACTTCTAAATAACCGGTTACCTTTTGAATATTACCGTCAGCAGTTTTGACGCTAGTCTTCAATGGGAAAAATTCTTTAAAACTATCAAAATTTGTGTTGGCGAGATCTGCCCCAATACAAGAAACATTTGCTCCTGTGTCGAGCAATCCTAACTCGCTAAAAGTTAAAAATTTTACTGAAGCATAAAAACGTTTGTCTTCGGTATTATTGACAATAGACGAAATGCAAAATTTTGAGATGAACCTTCTTTGTTTGTAATAACGCCGCAACCTTAAAGTTGATCGTTTTGGTTTTCTGTTGGAAATTGGAAAATCTTCAAAAATTTCCTTTCGCTTGGCCAAATATTGTTCCCATCTCTGATGGTATGGTAAAATAGGGTATAAAACTGGTGTGTCTGAATTTTGAGTAAGTTTATTAGAAGTTTGTCGGTGCAGAACTTTAAATGTGTTTTCTTTATCCAGGCAGTCAGGTCTAGAACAGTCTTCTAATGAACCGTGAGTATGATTCTGCTCTGGAATTGAGTCTTTTGTTAGTTTTTGACTTGGCAATTTTTTTTAAGGAACACTTGGAGCATTGAGGTTTATAAGTATTTTTGGCTCCACAACCATAACAAAATACTTTCCTTTCTTCTTCACAATCTTCCCAAAAGTGTCCAAACACATCGCAATTCCAGCACTTTACCTGTCTAGGAGGCTGTTGAATCGCATCTATAGATAATTGCGGAGTAACTTCCTCATGTTCGGAATCAGCGTCGCTAGGGAAATGTATTTCAGCCACACGACGATTACATTGAGGCTTTAACGACATAGTTTTTCGGAAATAATCTTCTCCAAGTAGGGATTCTCTCATTTGCACTAACTTGCGCAAATGAGCAATAGAAAAAATGGGTACGTAAAGAAGCTCGTGCCTAATTTCAGGACGCAAGTTTCGAGTCAAAATTTCAATCAATTCTTGTTCGGGCATTGGTGGATCAAGCCTGTCTAATAAAGAGGATACTGCTTCATAAAAAGTTTCAAAGTTCTCATTTGATTTCATTTTTCGGGCTCTTATTTCCTCCTTTATGTCGAAGGACGATCGAAATTCTTTATATTGGTATTTAATAGCGAGACAAAAAGGTTCCCATTCGATGTGGTCTACCTGTTTGTGGTAGCGCCAAAACCAATCTTGGGCTTTCCCAGACAGCAATAAAGGTAAATTTTTGCAGAGTTGTGAGAAGTCATTATTTAAGTTTTCTCTGGTCAGTGTACGAACTCTGTACAAGAATTCATCTACACTTATTCCAGTGGAAGAACCATCAAATTTGATATGCCAATCTCGAATAATTGAGGTGACTTTATCAGGTCTAATCTGTTGGGTATCTAAAAAGTTGGGCGATCTACACTCTTGTGAATGAGAAGGTCTGACTGTATCAACCGGTGGTTGATTGTTTGTGGTTGGTGGTGGAGGAATTGTGGTATTATTTATGATGGAATTTGAAGGTTGATTGCTGTTGTTTCTTTGAATGGGTTGCTGAACTGATGTGTTGACATTTAAAGACAAATTTGGATTACTGTCTCTAGTAGATGTCGTAGGCAACAGGTTTAAATTCTTGAAAATTTTAGTCATTGTGTTTTCAATTATTTCTCCTAATTGAGTATAATCTATGGTAGGTTGAATTGTGTTTGGAATTGCATTCCTATTGCTATAGTTGGCGGGTGAATTAGGCACCTGTGAGTCTTGTACATTGTCTGCAGAAATGTCTACATTAGAATCAGCCAACGAATTAGCAAAACGCTCTTGAAAAAGGTTTCGACAATAGCTTCTTGTATTGTGTTGTTTTGCTCTGGCTCCACGGCCTCTAGATTTATTATAAGATTTACCTTTGTCTATGGGTACATTTTTCTTTAAATCTGCAAGAGAGCAGGGCCTTTTACAAGTTGGGCATTCTGCGGATTCAGCCAAATAGCCTTCTAAACATATACGATGGAATGTGTGGTTACATTCTAAAATGTTTATGGTATCTTGATCGGATAGTATTTGCTCGTCGCAAACTACACAATGGTTTTCGGATATGGAGTCGGAAATTGATGCAGTAGCACCTAATGCCTGTATTGGAGTTCTCTCCATAATTTAAAATTCAATGTTATTTTAATATAATATTCAATAATAATTTCGAAACAAAAATATTTAATTTTCATAAAAAGTACTTCTTACATATCACGGTGTAATGCAAAAAGGACTTAAGTATTAGTGTATTTTGATTGAAGACACTAAATTGGTCTATTGAATGGATATTCAAGTAATAATCAGTCTAAACAAACCATCCTCTTCTTCACCTATATACTACCTCATAATGGACAAAATATGCAATCAGCAAATCTTTTGTAAATCCTACTATAAGGCAGGAGGAAGGTAGTCCAGTTCTGAAAGACTATAACATAGAATCCCAATAACAATGAAATCCAATGAATTAAACAAATTCAGTGAACTGCATAGAAGGAGTTGCAAAATTAATTAGGTTGATTTGTTCGGGTTTACAACTCAAACAATTCAAATTTCCAAACAGAATTCTGCAATTATCAGTACAAAAGATTCAAAGCAGCTGCTCAAAGCATATTCATTCATTGTTTTGTATGAAACGTACAATTTAATGGATTAATGTGTGAGGTTAAGAAGATCAAAACTTTAAACAGTAAAAATCTCCTAGGCCCCACGTTGGGCGCCAATTTCTGTAATGGACCACTTGTATTGGTATATAAAGAAAATAAAACCAACTGATTTTATTGGGAAAGAGGAGTGGGCGGGAGCCATGCAAGGGCTAGCTAACAGTCGGGGTTGGGGTGGATCTTACTCTCTCAATTCCCATTTACATTTTGTTTGGTCCACACTAGAAATAAATTTATTTTAGACTCCCTGATCTTAAAGAAGGTATATGAACTATGAATTGACCCTAATCAAATGCTGACAAAGAATACCCCATTTTGGTCAATAATGCTGAAATTATACGAATCTTAATCAAAATATCTATTTGGATCTCCTAGATGGTGTGGAGTCCTGTGCCGCAGCCCTCCCAACCAATGATTTTAACGAGGCACATTATCTTAGTTAAAATCCCTAAAGTAGTTATTTAAGTCACTTTCCGATTACACCTTGTAAGAAAATTTTAATCAGTTTATTCACTCATTTTTGTAAACTTCAAAAAACAAAAATTCTTAGTAAACATAAAAATTATTATATAAGAGCTTCAAATTAGCACATAAAAACTTAATTCAAGATACAAAATTACTCTGTATGCCTATCGTAGGGCTATCGTTAAATCTATTCTTTAACATAATTATGATGATGATAATGTAAGACACATTATAAGAAAGAACAGAAACAACAACAATTCTTCCGAATCTGTTATAGGAATTGAATGCAGTAAGTAATAAAAGCAAGCGACATATCAAATGTAATGATGATGATGTTGTTGTTGTTGTTTTTTTTTTTTTTCTTTTGTTCTTTCTTTGGAGATGTAACAAGCAATGCAAAAGATCAATGTTATTTTGTTTTGATTAATTTACTCACCAAACAAAAACACCGCTGGTAGAGGCCTCTTCCATTATGGTAGTTGGTAGTTCTTTGTTGTTGCTATGCTGCGATGAAGATCAATTTTTACTTTTGCGTTGCTTACATACCGAAGTTCAATCTAACAACGTGATTATCATCTCCATGTAATTAATGATATATGGGTAACTCCATACGTATTTTTTTTTTAACTTAATAGTAGGTATTATTTTATAAATATTAGGTTATTGTAGGAATTGATGATGAAACAGAACTGACAGGCGTATTTAATTCAGGCTGGGTTTAAAGTTGCGTTGAAACTTTCAGAATTTTATGGCAACGGTAGAAAATAAATTATAAAATTTTCAGCTTCTTAAGACGTAATTGACTGAATAAGCAGACTCCAATATGAAATTGTGGAAATACAATATCCACTGACCCGACTTGACGTAATTGGAAGTTTTTGTACCAAATTTCGGGAAGATTTACAAAACCACAATTTTCAAGCTGTTTGTCTTGGCAGTTTTAGATATAACGTCAGGTAGCCAAACAGACTGCTATTGAATTCTGTATTTGGAAATCGAACTTGTCCTGGATTTGTAGAATAGCGTTTAAGTGGTGGCTCCTCAGAGCCCCCAACACGGTATAAAAAGGTTTTATAACCTGTGAGGATAAAATTAAAAAAAAATTAGACAAATCCGCGGAACCCATTTCTGTTTTAGATTACCTTTAAAATAATGGATAGCGGTATTGTTTCCCGTGATATAGAGAATGGTTATCCTCTGGCAGAGGTAACACAAAAATCACGTGGGCCGCGTGGCGAATATGGGGTACCTTTTCTGTTAATAAAATATTTCACTTAAATTGAACACTGTATCACAAAAATGAAATATTTACCTCTCGATATTTTAGGGTGAGGAACTGTGAAGAAAACTTCAGCAATTGAACGAATCAATTTTACAAAATATTAAAAAACTTAACAGGTTGAAAACTTTTAATTGTCACAATATGTTTTATAGTTCTTTGCTGGTCTAAGTAAACCTCATGCAAGGGCAAGTTGAAACAAGAGAGAGAATGCAGTGTAGTGTTTAATAATCACTGCCTTATTGATTGACGTACGTTGTTTAACATGATATAATGTTAAGTACTGTACAGTAAGTGTACGTTAATTTTGAAACTCATATTACAGCTGAGGAGCTGCTGCTGCCTCCTTCTTTGTTGGTCTTAAATTCGACCGTTTGCCTGTTATTTGCTGGCTTTTTGACTTGTCGCGTTTTAAGCCGACTTTTGTTGTTATTCCTGATGTTGTTGTTGTCTTAGGCAGCGTGTGTTGCTGTTGCATAGTTGTGGCAACAACAGTTAGACCTACAAAACTAAATACCGGGAGTAAGAATGAATGGCAGGCAGCAGTGGAGTTGAATCCTTGGGCTTTATTTGCAACATCATCGTCATCAGAGGTGGGCAGAGGGGGGGAGGGCACGTCTCTGTGTGTGTGTGTGTCTGAATATGACTTGGTGGTATTTGCCTATGCCATAAAAGTGCATGTGTATGAAATGTATGTGTGTGTGTATGTATGTTTGTAAGTATGATTGTTGTTTGCATGTAACTATTTATAGTTACAGGCGACAAGAATGTAATGAAGTTGAAGTGTGCGGGTGTGGTCGCTTGATTTGCTATTACCAAATATTTCTATGGCGTTTACGGCTGTTTTTTTGCTGTTTTTCTTTTCGATTTTTTTTTCTTCTTTGCTCCAATATGTCTAAAGCAACAACAAAAAAAAACCAAAGTTGAGCTGACGTTCAACTTTTGTGATCTCAAAACACCACTGGGGCACACAACGATTCCCCGGCAGCCGGTGTGTTGGGTTTTGGGTATCGCGCATCAGACGACCGCAATGATCCACTGAATGGCAAGAGGAACTTCAGCCCGAGCCTAAACTCGTCCATATGTGTGTAAGAGAGTGTGTGTGTGCGCGCGCGCAAATTTACCATATTACAGTTGAGCCCAACAACTCCACCTCGACCACCCCCACCTGAGATCAACCAGCCAAACACTTGGTGTATTGTGTAATCGCTTCATATTGTCCCGGGACTCGAAAACGTCTAAAGCGAACAAACATTTGCATGGCAAGAGGCTACACAAATATTTTTATTGCCGACAACATATTTGTGAATTTCAGAAAAAACAGAAAAGCCAAAAAGTGGGTGGAGGCGATCAATTACAAATGGAGGAAATTTCAAGTACTTCAATGAGGAGTTTTCAAAATACATTCGTTTCGAGTCGATTCTAAGTGGAGTGGTATTACTTTGTATTTAAATTCAATTAGGATGGTATTTGAATATGAACAATATGGAATTGATTAAATCTGACTTATTAAGACTAATTGGTGCCTCACCATTTGAAATTTTGTGAAATTGATGATGAAACAAGGACTCTAACCTAAAACAGCAATCCTCAAGGAATTAAGAAAAAATATCGCACCCAAAAACTTCTAATAATATTCTTGCACTTATTACATTTTTTATATCAAATGTGAAAAAAAACTGCCAAAAATTAGCCAATACAAAGGGGAAAGGGAAAATGTATTTTTTGCTAAAAGTCTGCGACAATAATTATTCATGCGAGATATCTGACGGAGCATAGCTTCGAATTTGAAGGAGTAAGTACACTATTTGAGGCATGATTTTTAGTTGCTTTTTAAGATATTTATGATTTTTTTTTTAATTGGTCCTCTGAATATACCATAAAGAATCTATTCTATAACCTTCGTCGTAAAGGAGCAAATGCTGCTAGATCTACCAGGATTTTCGAAAATGTTATGATTTTTTATGTCGGAGAATTTTGTAACACCTAAAAACTAAAATAAACAAGTAAAAATGTTGTAAGTTCATCTGGGCCGAACATTGTATACCATCCACCAGGATGGAACGAATTTGCAATTCTCAAAACTATAAAATCCTTTAAAAATTCTGTTAAATTCTTAAAAATACCGAATGTAGCTGTTATTTTAGGGTCTATACGACGACATGGAACAGCATAAGTAATCTTGTCATAAGCCATCGCAATATTCAAATGCGAAACTTAAAAAAGTCGGTGAAGAATGTCGCTAAAATCATCAAAATACCAAATATCGGGAGGTACCGTTATATGAGGGCTATACCAAAACGTAGACCTACACGGCCCATTTTCAATACCAAAAGTCCTGCAGGCCATACAAACATTTGAGTAAATTAGATTTTATCAACCTACTTAAATTCGTTCGGAAGCTAGAGTGATTTCCACAGGCGGACGGTCATCGTTAAATCGACATAGAATTTTATGCTAATCAAGAATATATACCTTGTAAGGTCCAAAATGCATACAAGGTGTTTCAAACGGAGTGACAAACTCAATATACCCTCCATAGTGTGGCGGGCATAAAAATGTGATGACTGTGTCCGCAGAAATGGTTCGAAAAGTAAAGATGCGACTTGATCGAAATCCACAGTTCCCAAAAAATGGCTCGTGAGCTGAACATATCGCAATATTCCATTCGGCGAATATTGAAAAATGAGCTCAGGGTGAAGCCATCGAAATTTCAAAAAGTGCAAGAACTTATACCGCAACAGAAAGAAAATAGACTCCAAAGAGCTAAAGGGTTGCTTCGCTTGGCCGAAAGTGGTGAACTGCCGAATTTGGTTTTCTCTTTTCTCCGATTAGAAAACTTTCGTTGTCCAGCAATTTGTAAACAAACAAAATGATCGTGTTTACCTGCCAAAGAGGTCAGCTGAAAATGTGCATCCTCGGTTGGCCACCAGAAATCAAGCGCCGGCCATGGTGATGGTGTGGGCCGCCATAACAGCCGATGGTTGCTCTCCGCTCGTATTAATCGACCGTGGCATCAGATTAAGTGTCGAATATTACCGCGAAAATATTCGGCGAAAATATTAAAGCCTTGGGCACGCAATCATTTTGGCTGCAGACCTTGGACATTCCAACAGGACTCAGCACCATCACACCCAGCACGCGCCAACCGAGAATGGTTACAATGGTTCCTCGCTTCATTTCCAGCACACAATGGCCGTAGGACTATTGTGTCTGGAGTATTTTGGAAAGCAAGGTTGCCACTAAAAATACCAAAGTGTCGATCACTTCAAGCAGGCGATTCGCCGGTAATGGGCCAAAATAGCGCAGAAAACATTCGGGCTGCGTGGGTTGTTTTCATTGGCTGTTTGAAGGCCATAATTTGTGCCAAAGGTGGCCAATTCGAACAAATCTAAACTTATTCTAAAATTTGATGTTATTTCGGACATTTTTTGCATTCATTCAATAAAATTTAAAAAAATTGTAAAAATTATGGCGTTTGGCTTCGTTGCAGTTTATTTATCTCACGCGGGCCAACCCTTCCATTTATAAAGGTTTTGGTTATTCAAAATGTTGAACCATTGTGAGGAAAGCACGAGAAAGCGTGGACAGATATTGCCAATCTCCGAACTCTAACTGCAACCCCAATTACTAACGCAGTTCGCGATCGGCCACGGTCGGAAATGTAATAAACGCTTGGGAAGAGATATATTCTTCTATATAACCTTTTGCACAAAATAGGTCTGCATATTCATTAAGAATTTTCAACTTTTGAAATTTTATAGATCTGTTAGAAGAATGAGAGGATAGGTGAAAAAAGACCAAAAAGCCGTTTTATAGAAGTCCTGTGGGTTTTACTCCAGAAAACCATAGATTCTTCCGGCATAGAACCAGTTAGTGAAAAGACCAGTGATTCAAACTTAGTAGTCGAGCAGGCAATATTTTGGAAGAGCAGTTGGACCTCCTATAGGAGATCAGATGTGTTTTAAAAAAAATTGTCTTGCCTTTCTTTAGAAGACTAGTGGTTATTCCTTTTGAAATTCGTTGGTAATCCTGTAGAAGACCACTTTAAGACTACCTTTAAAAGACCAGGTTTAGGTCTCATAGTTAAAAAGATTTTCTCATAAACAATAGATCACTTTCTAGTACCCATAAATCTAAAAAACCTATTTACTTCTCAAACATCGGTAGGTGTTAATATGTGGTGCGGGGTATCACATAATTATCTCCACCCGACTTGGCACCTTCTCTTAGCAACATCAGTGAATTACATAAAAATCAATTACACTTTTCCTTTTTCCAACTATCATTTATCAAAAACACCACCACCCATAAAATTCTGGTCTACAACCAAAGAACACCAACAACAACTACAACAACATCACGAAAACACCCAACGCTTACTTTCAAAGTTCTAAAAAGTGTAAAACCAATTTGGTTGCTTTCATTTTCGTTGAGAATCGCAAATAAAACAGGAATTATTCGAAAGTGGTTGCTTGCGGTCGCAGTCGTAACGTGAGCGAGCCACTGAGTCACTAAGTGTGTGAGCGAGTGTGTGGAAACTAGTTTAAGTCACTAACTAAACAAATTTAGTTCTTAGTTTTTAATAGGCGACGACATCGTTATCGTTCAGACAACTACTACCGACCAGAAAGTGGCGGCGACGCAACAACACCCATTTTCAGTTTTTTAATATTGATCACCAACACGGTCACCGGGCAAACGGCGGGGCGAGGATCGCAGTCAACTATTACATGAATTCGCAGCAAAATGACAGAATCACTTTCTACCAGACGGGGACGAGATAAGAAGCAGAATCAAGTTTATTACTGCAGCAGTTAACTGTTTCTGTTCTGTTTCAGTATCTGGTTGCAGCTACTCTCATTATAACGCTTTATTTTGCCAAATGGTTGACTGGCCATCCGCAAATAGTCGTCATAGCGACGGACAGACAGACAGCCGGGCCGGCAGTCAGACCGGCAGACAAACGGCATATATTATGGTCCATTCGCTGATACCTCACCTCACAAAGGAGGCATTAAAACTAGACTGACTAAATTTGTGGTGGTCGTTACTAAAACTGGTAATTTGTCCGACGATAAATCGATCGATCGACCGATCTATCGTTCGATGGTCCAACATCCATCCATCTATGCAGACAATGAATGAAGGAAACAAAAACAACA